GAGGATAAATCCTCCTAGACTCACTGTGTGATCCATGGAGAAAGAAGGCAGACCCTCTCTCTCTGTTATTAAAGAGGTAACTTAAGAAGATTATCCTCACTAAACTAGGGTTAGACTTTATGAACACTCCCTATCCTTTGTTAATGTTGTAAAAAATAAGAAAATTCTTTCAAAGACTGGTGTGTTTTCAGAGAACTTCCTCAGTGTTTACTACCAGGAACAACAAAGCACATATCAAACTTATGTGTCAGCTATTTGGCTATACAGTGATACCATTCCAGAGGACAGAGCTGTCTTTCTTACAGAGGTATGTATTAGTAAATGTGCCTATAGTTCGGATTCCCTGAGCACTGACTCTTCAGACTTGGCTAGAGCTCCTTTCCAGGTTAGTTTTCCTATAAGGAAAGTAAGAAACCTGGGGATAAAGATTGACACACCCAAATCTTCCATGGATGCAGTATTTGGACATGAATGGGGCATGTAGCCAGACCAAGAAACTTAAAAACACTCTTAGATCTTGCTGTATGAACATAGCCAAGATGACCAGCACTTTTTTGCAAAGATTTGTAAGACTGTCACTGACACCACAGTCTGTGTGTGTCCATGGCAGCTTTTCAGCATGCCTCTGCTGGGCTTCTAACACTAATGCTCCTTTCAATCAGGGATGCAGAGAGGAGCTAATGACTCATAGCTCCTACAGGTATGGAGTACTTAAAGAACTGAGTGCCATGCCATCTCTTGTAATTATGTTGATAGGTTTGACAGGCCTAGAAACTTTAATAACATCTTAAAAGCAGATTTTCTGAAGTAAACAAGAAGCTCTTAACTAAAGGGAAATGGAAGAAGCCAAATGTAATTGCCTATTGCTATACCACTTATTTCCTCTTTTCTAAGGCAGCAATTCCTCCACATACACCTTAGTTCTACAAAGCAATGAGATCTGATGACAGCTCTCATTACCCAAAATTATGTTCACGTTCTTATTCTGATTTTCTGATAATTATAAACTACTAGTCTTACATTATGCACAGCTGGGGATTTTCCAAAGGACAACACACAATTTTGGTTGTCTTATTGGACAAAAAATGTAGAAAAAATCTGCAATAATTCTCCACAAAGCAGTTGACACAGGGAACATTAAGTTGGATACCAGAAAAAAACATATTTTATGGTATTCACTGTTTCACATATGGAAGCATGTGCTAGATCATTCTCCATTCTCTGAAGAATATCAGAGGAACTCCATTGTCTCAGGTATCTAAATTCTGCTCCTTCTTTTCTATACAAGTGATACTTCAGAAGATTCAACATAAGACCAAAGCAGTGTTTCTAACAGAAAAAAAAGATAGAGTTTTAATTCATGAAGTTGATTGTCATGGTTTCAAATAGATGTTGCCATCTAACTGGGCTTTAAAAGTTAGAAGACTGAAAATGTCTAAGGAAATAAAAAACCTCTTTCTTTATTAACACTCATATGTATTATTAGCCAGATTGCTATGTATTTATTGGAAAAGGTGTATTTTCAAAGGAGAATAAACTAGATCAAAAAGAATATAGCATTTTCTCCGTAGAGAAAACTACATAAGCTTTCCTTTCTCGTGGTAGTAATAGTCCTCAAGAAAGAGTATGAGAAAGAATTAAATGATTGTCCAGCAAATTCAACACGTATAAATAAATAAATAATTTTTTGACTAATCTACAAAGTAAATTCCTGTGATAAGACTAGACTATTTCAGGTAAAATTTATCCCCTTCTCGGTTATCACTTCTGTAAGTTTCCTGTTATTTGTCCTTTTAGTTTTTCCAACATTCTCTGCTCTCACCATTGTTTTGTAATAAGTGTGTCATGGTAGACCTTCCTAGACATTAAAATTCAAGTGAATGATGAAGCCATCCCACTTTGCTTCATGACTGTTGAATCCAGAGGTTTTGAGACTAGAGAAACATTAATTGAGAAAAGCTGTGTTTAAGTGTAGCCACTTGTGGCCAGGCTCTCTGTTGGCTTCTCCCAACAAAACCTAGCACACAGGAACTTGAGCAGCAGAAGTTCTCCTAGAGAGATGTTCCTAGATAAAAGGTGGCAACAAACTGCTTTTCTCTGGTGAATCTTGGGAGAAAAAAAAGCTGTCTGAGGAGTAGCCACTGCCTGTTGGAATTAAGTGTGACCAAGGAAAAAAGCAAATTTTCTATTTTGGGGTTTGTGCAGTGTTCTCCCCTAAAAAAACTTTAAAAATGCTTCTTGACAGTCTATCTCATGAAGAAAGAGTGGTAGAAACCACATTTGACTTCCTCTTGAAGTCAATACTTTCCTTTGTGTGTGGTAAGCAGCTGGGGCATCTCCTGAGAAGCTGTAAAGAGTTTCCTTTTATAGCTAGAAAGCTGGGCAAAGTAGACTATATAAAGGAAATTTTTGTGTTCCAGTCCTAGCCATAGATATAGCCTTGTGGTTGTGAAGTACAGAATTTCAACAGAAAGTAATACAGTTATTTCTATCTTCATTTCCACCCACAGCTCCCAAGGAATAGTCAGAAGCTTTGACCTTGAATCTGAACCAGGAGTTGCACCTCAGCCAAAAGGTATTCTTTATATTTGGAGTCTCTAGTGAAATACAGAATGATGGAAGAAAAAGCTTCCCTCACAGCTATTTCCTGTGCAAGTTAAAGGCAAACACTACCATTGATTACACTTTATTTAAAGGAATCAGAATATGAGAAAGGAAGGCTTAAAACACTACTTTAATTGACATACTCTTTACAACAAAAGAAAAATATTCACTAGCTTTGGTAGTACATTTGCTATTTGCTTTACCAGTGTTACTGGGCTTACTTTTTCCAGTTCTGTGTTTTAGATTTAAGGAGAAGGCTAAAACAGACTAAATTGCTTCCTTGTGAATCAGAAGTATTCAGGTAGAGGACACACATTACTTAGCATCCAAGGGGCCACATACATATCAGCTTCATAAAATTCCTACTGAATGATGCAACCGCAGTATGTTGATTACAACTTTGCAAGACTTTCCTAAAAGTGGTCATTCGTAAGTAAAATCTTCCACACTTTTCCATATAAAACAAGGTCAACATTTATGGTGTCAGGTTACATTACTTCAAGTGGAAACTCAGAATGTGAAAAAAAAACGGAGAAAACTTAAGACAAAGTCTTAACTGACAGCAGATAAAAAAATCAAGATTGCGAGAGTAATGATCTCCTTTGAAACTTTGGAAACCCATTCAGTTATTTTAAAGTAAGGATGACTTAGATTAGGGTAGAGATTTGAAACAGATTGTGAAACCTTACAATAACCAAGATTGAAAACAAAGAGATTTATTGCTAATGGTTGGCATTTCACATAACCTCTTACCTTGAGGAACACAAAGTACACATAACAGTAGGTCTGACAGCTTGGCAGTAACAGCTACTCTAGTGGTAAACAAGAATGATAGCTCTCTGAACAAGCAGCAAAGACTTTGCTGGGAGAGAAACATCTAAGATACATACACAGTAAAAGAAAAAATGCTATACTCTTCTAAGGATGTAGTATATATCTCATTGTTTTCTGGTGCAGAAACAGGAGTGGGAGGTGTCAGTCTTCCTTTACATTCATTCCAGCCATAAAGTATTTGTAGGGCACTCAAATAACCCCTTAAGTGTAACGGAGCTGCTGATAAATATAACAAATTTTGATGTATAAGTGAACACCTAAAGAGTTGGTAGAAAAATGTAAATTCCTTTATGAGAGATTCCAGTAGTTTCAATATTGTGCTTAGCACCAGAATACTAAGTTCAACAGCAGCCTAGAATAGATGCTCATTAACAATAACTAAAGTGTTAAATACAGAAAAGAAAGGTTCTTTTGTGAATAGTGAATTACTTTGCATATACAAAACCAAGGTGCCCAGTTTCAAAAGTGAACTATAATAGAATGTACCAAGAAGATAGTGAAAATGTGAAAATGTCTACAATTTATATGTTGAGGAAATTAGGATTTTTTATAATTTAGAAGTGCAAGAATCTGAACTTCTGCTTTTATTGCAAGCAAGGAGTAAATATTGAAAGCAATAACTCCATGAATAGAAATTAATAGGAATAGGGTGGGTATGATCAAAAACCGAAAAATGATAGCTTAGAAGACAAGAATTATTACTAGACACGAAGGATGGATAACCTCAGAAAAGAACATCAGAGAAGCACGTACTGTTTTTAAAAGTAAATGCTAGCTTCAGAGGCTATAAGAACAAAAATTCTAGGATGTTTTGAACAAGTATGTTAATGAATGCATTCAGAATGAATGTATATTCCTAGATAAAAGTTTCATTAACTTTGTTATTTGAGCAGCAAATAACTGAAAATCAGAAATAGATTTCTATTACTTACAAGGTGAATATTTCTTGATCCACACAATCGCAGAGTTAATTTTATCTGTTGCCTGTACTGGTGTTAGTCTTTATTATCTCACCACGCATGAATTCTCCTCCACCTGTATTTAACTGATGAAGCATGTGGATCCTTGGACGTGGTAACTTTCAGCTTGCTGCCGTCCAACTTTTCTTTTTTTCAAACCAGATGTTGAAGCTAATGTGTTTTTAATATGATACAATGTGTATTTAAACTGTTTACTAGTAGTCTGACATAACAGGTACATGCACCTCTGCCTCATGAATGTCTTGGGTCTAGTATGTGCTTTCATTCATTTAATTTCAGTGACAGGTCAGTGGAAAACAGTAATGTAGCAGGAGGAATAGCAGCAGCTGGAAAGTGGTTAAAAACAATAAGAAGTCTGAAAAGCAAAATTCATCAGAAGCTCAGAGAGGTTGAACACAGGCAAAAATTTATTCTTTACTGAGACTTCATGGTAATTGAAGTCTTGAGTGTCTCTGAGATAAAGGATACTAGTCATAGTCGGCAGCCTCGGTGATCATAGCTAAGCCCATTTAGAGGAGTAGAAGACTCCAATGGATTACATGGAAAAGTTTAGCAGTTGAATGAAAGAAAAGGTTGACTTACTGAAGTAAAAGCCTCTGTCTCCACACACGAACTGAAGAGCATCAACCAGCTCAGCACCACAGAGTGTTTCTGGGCCAGCAGCAACAGAACTGGTTAAGGTAAGCAAACACAGCCCAAGGTAGAAGAAATGGGTGTAGGACACAGTGTGCATCTTCACCTGCCAAGGAAGCAAAAGCAGTGTCAGAATTTCCCAACAGAGTCTTAAAGAAAATAACTCCTGCACCCTCGTGAGCTGAGCATGAATGTGTACTATAATTTCTTGGACAATAACTGTTCTATCAGGAAATGTCTCATCATAATTTTGTAATGGTCTACATATTCCAGTCCATGTATTTTGTGAACTGAATATTTCCTCTGGTGAACATTCACATGTAAGTTAGGGAACCCTGTAGTGACTACAATTTATGGTTGCTCCTGAAAGAGGAGGATATGGGGAAGTGCAATAGACAGGCAAAGGGAAGCCTGGGGTGATAGAAGTAAGGAAGAGAACTTCGAATTTGTTTGTCTTAGACAGATAAGCTGAGGGAATATGAAATTTGCCTGCCAATGTACTGTGGGAAATGGGGGTGGCATATGATGGAGAAGAACTATTTAAACTAAAAGCCAGCACTGGCACAGGAATAAATGGCTGTAAACTGAATGGAAGGAGATTTGGCCTAATAGGAAGAGAGTTCTTTATTAGGACTCCATGATTCTCCAGGTACCTTAAAAAGGAAAATACCAGGACAAACCAAAAAAAGTTTCAAGGTACAGCTTGCCAGTGTTACTGGAATTGATGTGGGACCTTCCATAGTAGAGAACCACAACCAGTGACTCTTACAGTCTCCTGTTACTAACAGGCAAATATCTGGAAGCATTTGAGAAATGCAGTCATGCTTCATTGGCATCCATTATATCCTCTTAGTCAGGAGTGGCTATGAGGTATACACAGAGATGATCACTCTTTTCTCATTTGCATTTGGTTATAAACTATCTTTTTTCTGTACTTATGATTGAAGAAAGGCCAATCCTCAATGGGTGTAAACTTGCACCATTCCATTTATCCACTTCCTTTAGTATCAATTTATGTCCAAAGATCTTACCCAACATATCAAAGAAGATGGGTTTGTTTTTGGTTTTTTTTTTAATATTAGGAAGAGCTATTTACCTGTAGTAGCAGGACACTGAAGAATGTGCTTAATGCATACTCTGAACTTACTTAGATCGCTTGCCAAAAATGCTAGTTTCAAAAGGTGTAAATCTGAATTTAATTTCATTCTCTTTCAAGGTTAACATCAGTATTGCAGTCAGGTAAGAAGTTACAAATCTGTCTTCCACATACAGTTAAAATTGGCTTAAAACTGCTTTGTATTAGCAAACTAGTACAAAGTAATTGAAGTAAAATGATTAATCTTCCCTGAAGTTTCTTTCAGGGTTTCAGGGACCATTTAATCTTATTTCTTCACTGAACTTTTGAAAAACTGATGAAATTGTCTATTGTCTGATCAATTGGGATCTGATCCAGTGGGATATTGAGTCTTCTCTAGTCAATAACTTTTAAGAATTCTTATTTGCTTGGCAAGGGATCTTAGTACCTTGCTAGATGAGTCCCCTATTTCCACTATGACAATAACGAACAAATCTAAATCCCATGATGTATTATAAAAAAGAATGAATAAATATTTTCCCATTCACAAGAGTCTTTAGCCAACTTTGCCATGCAAAACCCAACAAGCTTGAGTGCACAGACATGACTGCAATGGCAGATGGAAAAAGATTAGATTATAAATGAATGATGGTAACGAGGCATTATTTCCTGTAATGATTCCATATCTTAACAACAACAATTTCTTTTTTCCTTTGCCATATTTTTGAATTTATAAGATAAATGTGATGCACCTGCAGTTTAAGATGGTTCCCAGTTCTGAGGAGGTAAAGCAGAAAGCTGTTTAGCACACTGCCTCAGAAAGCTGAAAGACATTACAAATACAAGAACATTATGTATTTAGCAATTTGTTCTCGTATAACATTTGGTCCAGAAATAAACATAAATTTTAGACATTTAACAATTTTTTATTTTTCAAGACTTCTCAGCTGGCTTGCATTTTCAGATAAATATCAGCACTGAACTATGACAAAACAGATTATCTACTGTTTTTCCTTTAGTGGAAGCCAAAAAGGCTGCACAGTATAAACCACAGAGAATTTCTAACTTTATCTCCAAATTTAACAACAGTCAAGAACTTTCAAACACGTAAAAACTTTGCAGAAAAGAAAACAGACTCACAAGTTTCTAGGGTTCAATCAATTATTTGATAAATTAAGTACTGTTTCATTAAAACTACTTCCAAAACATAGTTTAAAACTTTAACTTTACTTCATCATTTTAATTAAACACAACATTAATTGATTCAATATGTTTGTGATAAAATCAAAGTTCCACTTTATGTCTGAGAGGAATATTCTTGAGAAAATACAAAGTTGTAATCCAATATTGCTTCAGGTTCTCTACAATCAAGCAGAATACTTACATTATCCCCAATTTGACTAGAAAGTTGAGAGCTTAAAAGAAAAAGCTTTGCCATGTGGGTGGGGTTTATTGAAGCATCTAATTACATTAGGAAATTGAATACAGGTTCAAGATGAGCCTGGTTAAGCACTTCTTTTAGTTGCATAGAATGACCATATTTTCACAGCTGGAATTTCCTTTTTTTTTCAGTGAAATAGCCAGCTTTTGCTGCATTCCTCTTTTAACAGTCCAGAAGAGTGGCACCACAAAGGAATGTCATATATGAACACTCTACATCTCATTTACTTCTTAATTCTTCTATGTAAGTCCTCTTTGCCTAAAAAACTATCAGTTGACAAAAGTTGTGCATAAGAATTCTTCACATACTCAGTCATTTTAGTAACATGTAAGAACATCTGCAATAATTATAAATACCTGGAGTGGGGTAACATATTTATGGACAGTATATTCTATAGAAAGAAATCAAAAGATATATACTCAAAATTACATTTTACTACAGAGAGGGTGGGCCTGATTATCAAATCATAGTAGAAATATGTAATTATTATGCAATAACAGTATTCACTAGTAATTATTATATAAATAAAGCCTATATACTCTAGAGCGGATCAAGGTTTAAATACTGTTAACTTTGAGTAAAGAATCTGGGCTACATGCTAACCTAAATCAATATGTTCCATTGATTCCAAGGAAGCTTGGCAGGATGCACAGCTGAGGAACTAGCACATTACTTTTATGTCTCTTAGTGCCTTGCTCAATACTTTAAAAAAAAAAATCTTCATCTTTCAAGTATATTGGAAGGGATGCCCACTTATACATTAAGGGAATGATTTCATCCATTACAATTACAGACCTGTAATTAGGTCATTAAGGAATGAGATAAGTGTGTTTTAAGTGTAAGACATTGTAAAAAAAAAATTAGGCCTTAAACAATTAAAACAGGATAATTCTTTCAACTGCATAAATCTCCTTGCAAAATATTAAAAACAAAAAGTTCTTGACAGATGTAAATTTGCTGATAATGGAAAGTTGAACTGGAGCCAATTGACAGAAACAGAGGTCAATGCACCTACTGAAGTCAAATTTACCTAAGACAGTTTGTATTATTGTGCAGAAATTATAGGGTCATAACATGAAACTTCACATGCAAACTTTCCTGAAACAGCCCTCCCTAGAAGGGAGAACTTGGAGATGAACATGTAAGGGAATTTCCATTTTCTTTATGTACAATTGCTTAAGCTGTACAAATATGCAAGGTCAGCAAGAGTCGCAGCTGGTTTCTAATGTAGAAAACAAACTGAACTTCTCATTTACTTTTAATTTATGAAAGCAAAAAACAAGCAAATGCTACGATGCTGCCAGAAAATTGCTGCAGTGACAACATCCCTTGAAAGTTTCCTTGTGAAAGCATGAACATTTTCTCTGTAATTGTGTATAATAAAACTGCAGAAACTTAACATTTGAATAATACCTTTTTTCCTCTAAAACCCTGCACCTGCAGAAAATAGCTAAAAGTTCTTGTTTTCAGAAGCATTCATTAACAATATAGACAATGATGTAATTGGACCTTTTAATAATGACATAACTGAAATATTACAAAGTTCTCTGAATAGAAGTGAAATTTAAGACATGTATATGCAATACTTTACCCTTACAGTCATCTATGTAATTGCAACTATTACATACAGCCATTTTCCAGATCACATAAAATTGCATGTTCAGCAATTTATAAATAATTCTCAGTTCTAAAATAATGTTATTGAAAAGTGCACAATACTCTTCAAACCAGAAGCAGACAATACACAGCAAAATAAAACTAAAAAATTATTTGAAATAGTAATAAAGATTTACCTTCAAGAAATCACACAAGCAGCACTTAACTAATTGTGTTGAAAGACTGTTGATTTTTTCCATTGCTTCTTAAAAGTGCAAAGTCTGGAAATGAATTTGTTAGCAGTAATGATGAGAAAAAAGAAATCCAGAGAGATGTGAGATGTTGAGAGCAATGTCACATTTCAATATTGAGGACTTTATTCCATTGCGCAGGCTCTATCTGCTCTGATTTTAGCAGTGACAGTGAGATTTAGCAAACAGAAGAGGGATTTAGAGAAAATCCTCACATTTATCTACATTACACAGACACTGTAGACAGGAAACAGCTGGGGGAGCATTTGCCTTCTCTCTCTCTCCCTCTTCTGGCAAAGTTACCGAGTAAGGACTTTTTTGGGCATGGTGACAAATAACATCATACCTTTGCATTTTAAAACTAGAGCACAGAAGCATATTTTTTTCCCTTTAAAAAAATATGAATTAGTGACTGAGGGGTTAGCAGACAAAAAGAGCTTGTGCTGCCATGAAAAATAAGAAGCTGTATTCTAGTTAACTTTCAGATAGCTGTGTGTGCATTTGTATTTATGTGTGTGTGTGTCTGCATTTCAAATACATAAAAACTTATATACCTAGGGGCAATGTTTGTATATATGCATACCTTTGTGTATATACACACATTTTATTTTTGCATAGAGGCATAGGTATTTTATTTATATAGTACAGAAAAGCAGGCAGTCAGTTATCTATGTTTTTCTTAATGCGTCTTTACGTTATTAAACTTGGCACGCCTATATGCTGAGTAACAATTAAAACCTCCAACTCTCTGTGTGATTAACCCTAAAATAGCAGTTTGTAATTTGCTAAAAATAACAAAATTGTTAAGCGCTACTTGTAAATAGGGCAAAATAGCTTTGTGATCTTTCAGCAACCACACAGGGGAAATCGTATAATTTCCTAGAATTTACAGTACTATAAATATAGTAGCACAAGTAGCCCAGTTTGGGGGGCTTCTATAGTGTGTATATTAAATCTGCTGTTGTAATTACAATGTGATTTCCCCCCTTTTGAGTAGTAATCTTCAAATTACTCTTGATAACAATTTACTTGACACTGGGAAAGAGAGAATTCAACTTTATTAGTTCTGCAATACCTAAGTTTTGCCTTTTTTATTTTTCCTCAATTATGAGTATATTATAAATAACACCAGCTGGCCAGCAACATGCTCTCACGGGTTATGATGTCATTCAAATCCCTCAACTGTGTTAGTGGCTTGCAATGTGCTCCAAGCCAGCTGTTTTTCTATTTATAATGTATGCTTGCATTTCAATACTTAGCTATTGAGAATAAAGTTGTGATGTTGTTTTATAGATACAGTTTGTACTTGTTACCCTTTGGATTTGTAAGATGGCATTTAAAAGTAGAGGACTAAACAAGAATGCATCTCCAGAGACCAAATACATGTCACAAACAGTGCATGATTTCCATAAAAGCTGTTTCAGAACATTGCATTTTGTCCCTGTTAGCTTCCACTCAACTGAGAGTTGCATGCTGAGGTGCTAGCTGTACTTTATTATTGAAAATAACAATTGAGATCATGTTGGCCCAGATCTCTTCTCAGTTTTCAGATCCACCTTGAACTATACGGTGCTTGCCAGGCAGAAAGGACACATTTAGTTATTTGTATCCTCTATGAATGGCTAATACTCTGCTCTGTGCAGTTTTAAACACTGTATGGTTAGCTAAGCTGATTAATCTTAGAAAGGGATTTCTTTTAATGTAACATAAAGGCAGAATCACAAGGGGCTTTGAGGTAGTTTGCTTAGTTCAGGTAATACTAATAGTTCAAGTATTCTAATACACATTTGTACTGCAGGTACTATATTTTAATATTCTGGTCTATTTTATTCTTCCCTCTGCATTTCAGAGGTCATTGCATAGTGGCACCATTCTACACATAGCTTGATAAAACCTGATGCTACTTATAGTACATGTATCACTTATTTCACAAGTCTTGCAGAAGAATGTGGGATGACAAATTAACAAAGGTCTGACAATATTTTTTTTTTTTTTGCTTTTACTGTACTACAGGTGGGTGCCCATACTTCTGCCTTTTTCTTCCTGAATAACAGAAGGAATACCACTCCCCCAGTGCCTGAGCTGCAAACCCTTGTCTCTCTCTGCACTCCTTGCTTTCTCCTAGGTTTCACCAGGCCTTTCTTGGCATGAGAGCAGGATGCAGTAGAAGATGCAACTTTTGGCTTTCAGGGTAACCAGAGAATCATAGTGTCTCTAAACAACTGATAATCGTGTTTGCCATTCTGAACACTTTTCCTCAATGCACCTCACCAGCCTGAGGTTCTGATATACTTCACTTATTTCTTTTGGTTCTTGTTTTAAAGTGCTTATGCAGTTACATACGTTCCCTTGAATAAAATGCACCTGTTAACTACAGAGTTTATGGTAGTCATCAAAATACTCAAAAAGATGTCCAGGTCAAAAAAAATTATTTAATTGGAATGTGTATAGTTATTCTACATTAAAAGAATATAGCACATATATTTTTGTTTGGCTTCTTAAATATGACCTTCAGTGATATAATAACCACAAAGACATATTAAATGAGTGAGAGATGTAACAAGGTATTTAGGAATTTATGTGTCCTGATCCTTATCTTTTACACTTGAATATCCGTATGACATCACTAACATGCTCTGAAGCTATAGAGTTCCTATGTCAATTTTTCCAGGGACAACTCCATTTTATAGAAGATAGCAAAACTAGAAATAATCATTTATCCAAATTAATATATTGTCCCTCCTTAAATCCTTTTTAAAAGGGTAGAAGCATTGTCACAATGCCTGAAAAAGTCTGAACTATAAGGCAACCAGTGTGCATACCTCTTGCATTCTTCTGTATTAGATCACTCTTACCTATATGCAGTTATTTGTAGCTGATTTTCATTTTTTACATTGGGATTACAAGTTTTCTGGAACCAAGATAGAACCACTATAATCGATATCACCTGAGAGGGTGATAGGGTGAAGAGCATGGTGGGATAAAGCATGGAAGAAGACAATAAACATGGTGGCTGGTGAACAGCTGTTTTTCATTATGTGAAAATAGCAGAGACAAGATTGTTTTTGAAGAAGCTGGTGAAGGGGTGTATCTTATTAATATGAAATTTGTGTTGAAGTTAGTGATTAGTTAGGTATATCATGGAAAATTCCTTTCAAGTTAAAAGTTGAGAAGTCAAGAACAAAATCATCTTACTAATTCATTTGTTTTTTAAAAAAAAAAAACCTCAAACACCTTTTTCATGGTGACCTAAGTAGTGTTGTCGCTAGATGAAATCCAAGTAACAAATGTGGTGGGAAGGATGAGGGCACGCAATCTGAGCTGTCATTACATTGCCAGTGTTGAAGAGACACTAAGGAGAGAGCAGTGCCATGAAAAACGGTTTCTCACTTGGGCGAACAGGGAAAGTGCGAGCTTCATGATTGAATTTTAGAGGGTCATGTAAATTGAAACCTTTCGCATTTGCTGATGAAGAAAAGCATAAGTGTTTCAAGAGCAGGATGGATGTGTGAGAAACTCAGTCCAGAATTACTGCTTGTAGGCAGTAGTGGTAGAAAGAATCGATGTTAGTAACAGGTCAGAATTAATCCATGGACTTGTAAATTGAAATTACTGAGTATTTCACATTTTGTAGAGTAAGAATAATAGCTTTGCTGAGATCAAAAGGTGGCTGGGACTTTACTGCTTGCAACTAGCATGCAGAGAGTATGGTGAGAATGCTCTGATGTAATAAAGTGTAATTTTAATTTATAGTACAAATTAAAGTAGCTACTATTTTTAATGTCTCCATATTAATAATTAATATTAATACAATTTGAATATCTCCATATTAATTCTAGTTTCAGAAATAAATGCTGCTAAAAATGATACAAAGCCAAATACTGAACTTATTTTCCTACTCAAGTGAGATATACATCAGCTACTGGATATATTTGTTCACAGTTTAAACACTTAAATTTTTTAAAATTATAATATATTATGGCAATTACTTATTAATTAAGTGGCATGAAATGAGGTATAGTTATGAATGTGATACAAAAATACAAAATATGAGAAGTAATATTAAATAAACAAAACTAAAAAGCTGAAACAAAATGTGTTTCAACATTTCTGAAAGCATTTTTTAGTGTTTTTTTTTTTTTTAATTTCTGCTTTGTGGGAAATTTTGAAATAGTTTGTTCTGATTCAGAATAATCAAAATACCAGAATTTTCCATTAAACTGGAAATTCCCAGTTTTAGCTGTTTGTAGTCTTGCTCTCACTTTCCCAATGTTAAGCCCTGAATAGATGATCTTTGGTCCAAAAAAAGTTGCTTTCTTTCTTATTCCTAAAAGCAGTAAAAAAGTCAGAATCAATAAAGGAAGAAAATTAGGAGATATGACTGCATAAGCTCTATGCTTGCATGTATAGAAAGAAGGTAAAATAAGTGGAAATTGTGATGGGCAGCAATTTACATATATGTGTATATCTTCCTGGTAGATGAGGAAGATCATAGGAAGTGAAATGCATGGCCTTAGATATTCCTTTAATTTCCTAAACTGTTTCTTCCACATTTAGGTGAAATGTAGAGAAATATTCTTTTTTTTTTTTTTCCTGAGCCATCTCAAGGCTAAATCTATGATCGTAGATTTTTATAAAATAGAGTCTAGTAGATATGTTTAATGGTATTTTGCTTTTTCCATAAATTAGACACAGGAATGCCAATGTCTATGTGTGATTTTGTTTTTGTTTTTTTTTTAATTGATGACTCAGAAAAAGCTGTAAAGAGAACTGAATACTGGAAATTTTATCACAAGCAGGATATAGACAAAGCAAAGAATGTGAGCACATGGCAAAAATGCCTGTCTGTTTTATCTCGGCCTCAAGAGTTCTTGTATGAGTTACAAACTTCAGAAAGTATTCCTTATTAAACTTATAAGCAAACTCTATTTGGAGATGAAATAAGATGTTTTAAAACAAAATAGAATCTCTGCTTTGACCATTTTTAATTTCTTTAATTTACAATTAATCTGGTTCTTACTGTATGTCTTGGGACTATTTCTTCTGGATTCATTTCACTCTCACGATTTACTACACAAAAGGAGCTTATCTGATAAAGCTTATGCAGTGTTTAGTGGACTGAAGCCGGTAGGTTCTACACCTTCAAATATTGAGCTCCCTCCCATAAACAACCTCACCTAATTATAATTCTTAGATTTTGGTCAACTACGCTTTCATTAAGAAATTATTGAATAATTTAAGTACTAAAAAGAACC